ACCGAAAGAGCAATCGCTGGGATGCAGTCACCAACCTTCTCCTAGCTGAAAAACGCCAGAAATAACTACGAGGACAAGAATGGGTGAAACAGGGGTATGAAAAAAAAGGGATGAAGCGAAGCAAGTGAGAAGAATTTGAACAGCACCACCAGTTCAAGTTAACATGGAACCCCTAACCATTTGACGATAGTGCGTTCTGAGAAAAAATGAAGATTTCAGAACTTCTTGCTCTCGAAACTGCAAATACGGGAAGGGTATTTAACACAAAACAAGAAAGCAAGTGTTAATAGACACATTACTCGTATCTCGGGGAAACTAGTACACCTTGCAATTACTAGTAAGTTAAACATAGCGTGAACAAAATTCTCAAATCTTACTGGCTATCAAATGTCCTGTAACTTTTCTGCAAAATAGGACAGTATGAAATCGTTATTAAAGGGGAAGGTGTCACTTGAACGACGCACATGTCCCCGCATGTACTAAGGATAGATTAGACTTGATTGAAAATTAATAGGTTAAGTAACTATTTCAAAAAATTGTTATTTAAGGGGTGGGTGTCACTTGGACGAGCTACACGTCCCCGCGTGTACTAGGTAAAGTGCCCTTAAATATTATTACAGACAAGGTATTAAGCTACTCTTTCGCATCTATAGAGAACTTCCTAATTTCACGCGCACGCTCTATAAGGAATTTGTGAACACAGCAAAAAAATTTTGGTTTGTTTTCTAAGGTCAGATACGATCAGACTTTCAGATTCTAAACCAGAAACATTTAGTGAATGAAATGAACCTGAATTAGATCGGTGAAGTTTGAAACAATTTGAAATCACTTTGTAAGAGACGTTCATCCAAAAATTTTGCTGCCATAGCAACATGACGACTTCTCCTGTCCAGTACGTCCTTTATGAGGGTACAGCAAGACACGCCAGACTATGTACTACGCTTCTACGCTACTACCGCCTGCGTGTAAAGAATATTGATTTTCTTTTTGTATAGTAATAGTCGTCATACAGTGTACTACGCTACTACGCTACTACGGCCTACTTGTACTTAATATTTACTTCGGTTTATAAAGTAAGACTTGTAATACCTTGTACTACGCTACTACGCTACTACGCTACTACGACCTAGTTGTAAAGAATATCTAGACTTCTGTTTTTTTTATGGTAATAGTCGTCATACAGTTAACTACGCTACTACGCTAGTACGGCCTACTTGTACTTAAGATTTACTTCGGTTTATAAAGTAAGACTTGTGATACCGTGTACTACGCTACTACAGCCTACCTGTAAAAAATATTGACTTTAATTTCTTTTTTGTATTGTAAGACTTGTCATACAGTGTACAACGCTACTACGCTAGTACTGCCTACTTGTACTTAAGATTTACTTCGGTTTAAAGTGCCCATCACCAAAAATTTTTTATTTTCTTATCTGAAACTATAGAGTGTTTTCACTCACGTGGCCAGCATCTATGCAAATTTATGGGAATAAAAGAAAGCGTTTGCATAAGAAAAGAGTTCAACTCCCACAGGATTAGTTTGGGACACCAACATGGCTGCCGTTTCATTGTTTTGGGACACCAATATGGTCGCCGTGACGTCATATGAAAACACTCTATACCTTATTAAAATAACTTCTGCGAAAAAATTTGCGATTTGAACAATAGCCGATTTTTTTACAATTTTTTCAAGTCTACATTTTTGCGGTACACCCGCGCCGCTGATCACGCAAACTAGCCGGCTCGGCTATGACGTCATGTGACGTAAGTTAAGGAACTCGCGGGTGTATGTAAATGGCGGAACCTGCCCGGAACCCCCGGAACCGCCCGGAACCAACCGGAACCCCCCGGAACCTACCCGGAACCTTGAAAAAAGCGCAAATGATAAAATTAAAAAAAAAACAAATAACAAAAAATAATACAAATCAAATAAAAATAATGAAAATGAAATAAATATACTAAATATAGGTAGCTTCCACCTTAAAAATAGTCTGAAAGCTACAATTTTTATTATTTTATTTCGTTTTAATTATTTTAATTTGATTTGTATTATTTTTATTGTTTATTTGGTTCCCGTCCTCTTGTTAAATCAGCCTAATACTTGAACAGGTCGGCACGTGACTAACGGAATGCCAAAGACCAAAGTACACTTTTTCGTGGAGCCCGCTATGCCTCCACGAAAAGTGAACCTGCGCTTACCTTTTCTTTTCCGGACTTCTTTCCGGCGAGGAAAGGATTTCGATTACTTCGTTATGACCGTTCCCCTCAGTTTTTATAGCACTGTTGAAATAAAACAAAACCGCGTAAATTTGTGGGCAGATATCAGCTTTTGCTTACGCAACTCAGTAAACAGTCAAATTTCTGTTTGTACGAAGGAAATGTTACCTGGCAAAAGGACACGTTTCCTCGGTTCTCATAAAAACCGGCTGATATAGCTCTTCACTATTGTCATCTTCAGACTGTGATTCATCTTCTATGGTGATCGTCTCGGCTTTCCCTTCATTCATGGTCGTACTTGAAAAAACTGTCCACGCTCTCTCGCTGACTTCCACAGCGCACGTGGTTTCGAGTCGTAAAACAATACTTTGTACTTTGGTCTTTGGCACTCCGTTAGTCACGTGCCGACCTGTTCAAGTATTAGGCTGATTTAACAAGAGGACGGGAACCAAATAAACAATAAAAATAATACAAATCAAATTAAAATAATTAAAACGAAATAAAATAATAAAAATTGTAGCTTTCAGACTATTTTTAAGGTGGAAGCTACCTATATTTAGTATATTTATTTCATTTTCATTTTTTTTATTTGATTTGTATTATTTTTTGTTATTTGTTTTTTTTTTTTAATTTTATCATTTGCGCTTTTTTCAAGGTTCCGGGTAGGTTCCGGGGGGTTCCGGGGGGTTCCGGTTGGTTCCGGGCGGTTCCGGGGGTTCCGGGGGGTTCCGGGCAGGTTCCATCATTTACATACACCCGGAACTCGCGTTACTTTCGCCTTCACCAGCTGTACACAAAAAAGATCGATTACAAGTAAGGATTGAATCGCTGTGTCTTCGCAAGAAGAAAGATTTTTTGAAACAGAAAGTGAAAAATCAAGAAGTGAAGACGAGACCATCGAGGTAGAAGCGGTCGTATGAGAAACAGAAAACAACATACAAGACGATTCCCTCGAGCCGCACGCAGACGAGCCTTTAGCTGATCAATGGCTGCAAACTGTCGGCGTGAACAAGCCGAAAGAGATCAGTTGGAAGAACTTAGAAGAGCTGGAAAAGAGTCTCGAAAACGGCGTTCGTGTGGCTGACTGGTAAGTTTTCTTGATAGTTCTGCGGGCTACTGCTTCGAACGTTCAACAGGAACAAAAGAACTATATATCTTCTACATTGCTCTCGAGTCAGTTTAGAAGCTTTTCAATGTTTGCGGCATTACTCGCGTCTATATTTTACGTTTAGGTGTACTTGTGGAATTTGTAGCAGTGATCTGTTCATAAACATTAGCGAATGCTATTGCTGCAAGGAGCTGGAAGGCTGTGTTGAGTCCCTGTCGAGTGAAGTTGTCCGCGAAGAACCCTTCATTTTCTTTACTTCTCGGGGTTAATTGTACAACTTTAATGTAACACTGATATTGAACTATAAAATCTGTTCTACAGCAGCAGCATTTCTTTTACATTTGTTGTAGATAGCTCCGATCAATTGCTTGCCGGGAGTTTACGAGACTTGTCTATGAACACCTGGGAAAAAAAGGATACCTCTCCCTGCCTGTGCATATGCTGCTATTCAGAAATCAGTTCTTACCAAGGAGGACGAGCAACTAGCTGGTTTTCAGTTAGAGGAAGATTAAGTTCCCCTGCAGACATTCATTTAGTCAATGCAGCTGCGTACATTTAAGTAAGGGTAGCATGGAATTTGGGGCTGTCACAAGTTGTATGGCCACATAATGAATTTCTTTATCACATTTTTTCACATTTTTTCCAAGTTTTTTCAATGCTATGAACATCTTGAGCCTGAACTTGAAATTAAGGTTATTTATTTCAAAGTTGTAAAAAGCCAATTTGCTTTCATTGATTTCCATCCATTTAAGGAGACTTGTATCTATTCCCCTGTAGTTTAAACTTGGCACTATTTTTTTTTCATGAATTGTAATTATCATTCATTGCAAATTTTCCTTCCTTTTCAATGGCTGCGTGCTCACCACGTGACCTGCAAATAACTGCCTACAAATGATGGTCTACTCAAGGACAATGTCATCCAACTTTGCTTTGCTGCAAATAAAAAAACTGGTGATTGAATGACAAAACAATATTATTGACCTCAGTTATTGCAAAATATAGTGATTTGTCAGTGTCTCGCAGATCAATAATAAATATTATTTGCCTCAGCGTTTGGCTTTCATCTGCTCGCCACTGACAAATCACAAAATCTTTCTCAACATTGTCGAATTATTGTTAATTTTTAAAATCAATATTTTATCGGGAAGTTCCAATCTTCTCTTTTATTAAACTGTAAATAACAGTAGTGAAGACAAATCACATGTGGTGAACTTTGCTATTTGGTAACAGTTCAAAATCTCTATGCTCCATGTAGTAACTGCTGTCTGGTTTCTGTACAAACATACCAACCTTTAAAAACATTTCATTCAAGATGACAATTAAATGCCAAGGGCCTTGGGATTTTTGACCAACGGCAATCACTCTAAAAAGTTAATTCTTTTCAACTTGGAAATCAGGACAACCAAAAAATTGAGGATATTGATTGATGTGTGGTCATTTTAAAAAAATTTCTTTAGGAGTGTTGACAATAATATGACTTAAATATGTTTTATTTCACAATAGAGTGCAATAATTGAGTAAAATTTCTGACTAGATTAGGAGATCAACTTTTTCTGTAAAGATTCCCTAGTATTTCACAGCTGTTTATATAACAAATCACTTTTCTTCCATTTTTATGCAGAAAAAAATGTCTTATTCTTTATTGTTTCTTGGACAATCTAAGACGGCACTATGTCCTCTCATTGGCTTCTGGCATAAAGAGCAAACAGGGCGTGCTCTTGCAGGCCGTTCTCTTTGTTCACCCGATGTCTGATTTGGCACTGCAATAAAAAATGTATTGAGATAAGGATAGATGATAGAATAAAATGTTTCTTTTTCTGACAGAGCGAACCTTCATTTAATTATAATTATTTGCTTATGCAAAGGACCCTGAAATGACTTCTGCACAAGTTGTCTAAATATCAGCAAACAAAACCAAGTCCTCCTCAGGACTACGCTAAAGCAGACAATCATACAACAACGCATGAAAAGACTCCTGGGTTCAAACCATTTGCTAAAAAATAAGGGGATTAATGACCAAGCCTCCCCTCAAGGGAATTGATCAGCCTCACTAGGTTCACCCGTCATCAATCTACAACTTTAGATTTTAAACAAGACTGCTTCAAGTTCCAAAAAACATACCAGATGGTGCTGTGGGGGGGAACAGCTGTTGTAACCATGTTCATCCTCTTTTCTCTCATCCTGATGGCCTCTTCCCTGGGTTGTTTATCCAGCATGCTGTTCATTGGCTGAGGAACCATTTTCTTCATGTCATTGCATGTGTTGTGGTTCAATTTTCTCCTTGGTTCAAGTTTTATTTCCCTTTGTTTTAAACTCATTATCATACATTACCATACCCCAAAACAAAGGGAAATACAATTTGAACCAAGGATAAAACTGAACCAAAACACATGCATCTTGAAGTTGCTGTTTGCTTAAGGTCATGTAAAACTTGAAGAGCTCTCCACCATAGTCTAAATGTTCATTGAACAAAAACAAGGTAATAATTTTTGAAGAAGTATCAAACAAAAAAAAGTAGAATGACACTTAGAAAGCTATTTTAACTGTTGGATGAATGGTGGTTAAATACCAAAGTTTGGCTCAATCTTGAATTTCTTGAATTTTCAGTATGATGCAAGAAAATATTAATCATGTTTAACAAAAACTCGACATATGCTACACACAATTGACATTGGAGGCAAAATTATGTTCAGTTTTTCGTCTTGGACAGTTAAAATAGAATATAGAGCTTAAAAGACATGTATCATACAAATTACACATACCAGGAGTGATCCATAACAACGAAAATAATCACAAACAGACTGCCTAGGACTTAAAAGAAAAGCAAAAAAAAAAAAAATCCAACAGCATCTTACCACTTCTAGCTGCGTACTTGATGAAGGACTACAAAGGCTCGATCGTGAAGCTGATGTTGATGGTGCAGACTCGTTGAGTGTTCTCAAACGAGACTTTGCAGATCTTACAAGCTGTTATAATAAACAAAAACAAGAAAGAAAATTAAGTGTGTAACTCTGTGCATATATCGGAAAGGAGTCTGAATCCTTGCCATTTGTAAAACCACCAAAGGCACGTGGTAACAGGTAAATTTTTACACATTTGCGTCGGTTGCTTACCATGCGCTTCTCCCTCTTGGAAGGTGGTTTCTCTGATTCTTCTTTCGCGTTTATTGTAGGAAATACACAAGTTCCTATATCGTCAGACCTCAGTGAATGTTTCAAATCCGAATCGAGGCGAAAGTTGAAGTCGTCCTCTCTCAAATGAAGCGAGCACAAGGAGGACGTCTTCCCCGGAGTCCAATCTTTCCTCTTCGAAAGCACAAAGTCGACCGATCGCTTTCGCCTTCTTTGGGCTGTGGGGTTAGTCGACCCAAAAAACGGGTATTTTATGCATACTTATTCTCTTCTTAGGGTTAGACACATTGCTACATCTCGCCGCAACGCACCTTTCTGGCATTTTGACCTTTTGAACGGGATAAAGTGAACTTTCACGAAAAGAAACCTGCCAGAACTCTTCAATGCTTTCCTGCGATAAAGTCACATGTTCCTTAAAGTACGTCATATGACGTCATACTCCGAGAGAAGACTAAGACGAATGGTGTGTAAAATGGCGGCCAATTTGAACGTTTTCAAAAAATTGTAAAAAAATCGGGTTTTGTTCAAATCGCAAAATTTTTTCGCAGAAGTTATTTTAATACGGTATAGTTTCAGATAAGAAAATAAAAAATTTTAGGTGATGGGCACTTTAATTTAGAAAGTAAGACTTGTGATACCTTGCACTACGCTACTACGGCCTACTTGTACTGAAGATTTACTTCGGTTTATGATATGGTAAGACTCGTCATACAGTACACTACGCTACCACGGCCTAGTTGTACTTAAGATTTACTCAGGAACTACAGGGTGTTTCAAAAGTTCGTTCCGATTTTTCATTCGCTTAAATTTCACTGATTATTAAAAAAAAAACCTTTCGTAAAACTAATTATGTTAATCATTATTCATTTAACATTAATAACTAAATATCTTAGTAACCGGAATGTCTTCCTTTATGTTTAATGACATTTTCTAAGTGATGAGGTATAGAATGTACGAGCTCCCAAAGCGTGTTTAAATTCGCATTTTTTCAGGCGAAGCGTAGTCACTGTCTTAGCGCGTACAGTGTTTTGGGGGCTAGATCTTTGTTTCTTGTCTCGTTAACGATAATCCAGATGGTCTCTAAGGGGTTCACATCACCTGAGTTTGCTGTTCGGTCGTTCTTTGGTATAAAGTTTACAAATCCTTTTGACACCATGCCTACATGAAGCTTGCACCGCCTTATTCCCTTCAGGGCTTTCCAACATTTTGGATAACTTATCCCTGTGCCGTTGTGCTCGAAACTTTGATCCATATTGTGAAAGTGTAGTTTTTTTTCCCTTCCAGTTTTGTTGAATTATTACGCATATACTTACAGCTTTTTCGATAACATTTGTCACACAGTTTGTGAAAAAAACGGCCATCCACTCCTTGGTTTGTTTTCTAAGGACTTTACTTTTGACCACTTGTTCAGGCATCGTTCAGACTTCCTCAAAAATTTGGCAATTTTCTTTGACTGAATGGCCAGAAGACCATAAAAATAGATGACTGAGCTCTAGCACAAACAGTGTAAGCCTTTCTTTCATGAAGGAGTGGAAAAAATAAAATAAAACGACAAAAATACGAAAATAGAAAACCTACAAAATAGACAGGAAAAGTATGGCGGGAAAAACCTTGCGAACGTGTACATTTGGGGAAACATTAAAAAAAAAAAATATGAATTGTTCAAATTTTAGTTTAAAAATGCTTTGAACGGTTATTTAGATAAATTTCTTACCTGAATCAGTTTACATTTGCCTAAAGAAGCATTAAATACTTTGCGCAAAATACAATTTACAATCGGAATGAACTTTTGAAACACCCTATAGATGTTAGTGAAAAGCTATTATGTGGGTTTTCTTTTAGTAACAAAACTTTCTTTTGTTTTTGGACAATAATTGCACATCAACAGTATCTGTTGAGGAAAAGGTCTTACAAGAAAGAATAGATAAAAAGGCTACTTACTAAGTTTACTGTAATGAGAAGAATAAAAGACACAGCAAACAGTCGTTGCAAATGCTTATCAGTGTTCATAATTTTTTTTTCATTTCACGCAATAGTTTGTCAAGTACTGCAAAGACAGATTACTCATAAAACTACGCCACTACGCGTAGTACGGATATTTTTGTCAAATTTTTGCTCATATTTCTCGCCAGTATTGTTTTGGAAATGCACCGCGAGGTGACCTGAAGCCAAAGTAATCACAAAATTTTTTCCCATCTGACAACCACTCAGATGCCTCCCTCCTTGGTTGTGACTTACAAAAAATGGTTTTCTTTTTGCAGGCTATGGTAACATTGCCCCAATAACAGTTCAAGGGCGTCTGTTTTGCGTGCTATACGCACTTATCGGAATCCCTGGAATATGCTTGACTCGTAAATCCATCGGAGATAAAATAACGAAACTATTTACAAAATTAATTACAAACAGATTACTTCGAGAAACGCGTTTTGAAAAGATCACATCTGACTCAAAAAGCGGAGCTAAAAGTTACGTTGACAATGATTGTGGTAACTGTGGTTTGTCTACTACCATTAATTGCTCTCTTGCATGGTTTACGTGAGACACAAGGAATGGTCATATATCAAGTGTTTTCAATTTACTTTCACGACTTTGAGTACAATTGGTTTAGGTGACCACTTTCCGCAATTTAAGAACAACGCTGATTATTCACTTGTTCTTCTGGCGTTTGCTTGAGCAGTAAGGGGTTAGTGCTACGCGCGTTGTGCGGTCACTGCGCGAGAAGAACGCAATGAAGTGTTCAGAGGAAAAATCAAGTAATAACCATGAATAATTACCCTGTAAGGGCAAGGAAATAATGACGGAAGCTTATAATGACTGCAAAAAAGGCGATTTGAATAACAGTCATCTAAAGACAGGCGACAGTACCAACCAGGACGATGTGCCAATTTCAGGTTCTGGAAGAAACAGTTTTGCGGAAGAAACAACTATGAAAAGCAAACAGCGTGAAAGCTCAATTAGCTTTGGAATATTTACTTGCTAAATACGATTGGTTACTGGGTTCTGGAAGCTTTGGCCAGGCCGTCGAAGTTTTTTCCGGGTTGTTCAGCATCGCTTTTAGTAGATTTTGTTGCACGGTATTAATGATAACTCGATGGAAGGTGGATTACCGAAATATAGGTTCGAAACAATGGGCTCCTGGTTCGAAACACAGGCTTGACGAAAAAACGTGGTCTAACAAAAGTAAGCAGAACAAGAAGGAGTAGAAACAAAACTAAATGGTCACATCACGCACTGTATGCAGCTCAGTACATTCTCTCTTGCAGTAACATTTCTGGTCTTGATCTGCAGATCATTTCAGTTGTCTTAAAAATCCTCTTGGGAATTTGTCGGAGAGTTGTCTAAATACTACATGTGTAGGCAATTGTGAAAAACAGGGACACGAGAAAAAGTGAGGGCCTCAGAAAGGATGCAAAAAAGGAACGATGGCGCTCTTTCCTCGTGCGCGCGTTCTCTCCTCTCTCGCAAGCTTATCTCGCGCGTTATCCGTCTTAAGGGCCTGTAATGCAGGCTAGAAACAGGCTCGAAATGGGTGGGGTGGGGGAAGCACTCTCTTATTGATTTTAAGTCTATTAAGTGTGTGCGGTATTAGAGGGAGTATGTTTTGAGCCTATGTTGTTCTTGGGTGTAGCTTTAATTTATTGATCGTGTTTTGACCTAGGTTAATAAACGGTTTGTCTGAAGTTGGGTAGGAATTTTAGAAAACGCTCCTTTTACTTTTTATTTCCTTCTTGAGAAATCCGTATAATTTAAGCCATTGTAAGGGTAATGTTGATGCAAACCCACAGCTGCTTTTGGAAGCTTGGAACATGTATAAGAGTGCCCACCGTTGTGTGGACTGAAATAGATGGGGTATCCAAAATTGGTTCCGAAAAAAAATAGGGTGGGAAAAAACAAAACTTTAAAGCAAAATAAGGTAAGGGAGGCAACAAACATTCCGCTCAGCCCCACCACTTAATATACGTAACTGCATAAATAAACAAATAATGTACATTAAGTCGGACACTAGCCAAGAAATAGAGAAGACGAACAATTTTCCCAAGCGGAGGGGGGGGGGGGTGGCTGCTAATGACTTGAAATGGGGAGGCTAAGGAGAAACTCCTCTTAGTAAGTCTGTATTTTTTTCTGGAAAAGTGATGGAGGCGGAGGGGAGGTGGCTAAAGCCTTTTTGTTTTTTAGCCTCTCGGGCTCCGCGGTCCCC